AAAAATGTTTCTCCCTCCACCTATGCAGGGGTGGGAGGGGAGGGGCAACCAGAAAAACCCAGAAGCATGAGAAATACCCATAGCAGAACAGAGGCATAGCTATGCCTAAATTATTCTCAACCAGTGGCTGTCCAACCTCTTCTTGAAAACCTCCAGTGATGGAGAGTCCACAAGCTTCCCTAGGCAGTCTGTTCCATTGCCTCACTGTTCTAACTGTGAAGAAGTTTTTCCTGATCTTCAAGCTAAACTTACTTTGCTGCAACGTCAAGCCATTGGTCTGTGTCCCCTTCTCTGCAGCAAAAGAGAAAAGGTGCTTTTCCTCTTCTTTATGGCAGCCCTTCAAGTATTTGAAGACTGCTATCATGTCCCCTCTTAAATGCCTTCTTCACAAGGTGAAGATGCCTAGCTCCTCCAGTTTCTCTTTCGTATGACTTGCTTTCAAGCCCTTGATCATCTTTGCTGCCTGTCTCTGGATCCTAACTTCTCCATGTTCTTTTAAAAATGTTGACCTCAGAACTGCGCACAGTAATCCAGACGAGGCTTCTGGGAGCCATGGCAATTAATGCTGCCACCACTCCCCACACTGCCAAATTTCTGGACCCATTGAGAGCCCCACGGGCCAGGTGAACAGGGCCCCATGTGCTGTTTCTTGGTCACTCCTGTTCTAGAGCTTATCAGAATGCAACAGTTCTGTTGGTTGTAATGACTTCATGAGGGGGAGTAGATACGTGGGTCAAGAACTCCTATGGTCTCAGCTGTCATTGCTCTTTATTGGTTTGGCGATGACGTGCTAGTTTTGGCACCTTTTTGGTGGGGTGCAGATTACTTCCCCCTCTGCAGTAGATCTGTGCACTAGGAACAATAGAGCTCAAGCTCAGTGCTTACCCTCCCTGGGGAGTCCCTTGGAACCCGATCTCCCCTCAGGCTGAGACCCATGGCAGAGGGTAAGAAGGCACAAGTGCAAAGACTGCCTCAGGTTGAGCGCTAAACAGCTGCTGTTAAGAGATTTATGGCACAATTAACACGGAAAGGAGTAGGGGAGGAAAAATGCTAATGTTGGGAGCTAGATTTTATTGTTGCATACAGGATAACCCCATGAGTCCTCATATGCTTTGAGCTATGTTCTGTAGAGAATGAGCCTTTTTTCCATGGCTGACCAATTAAGCAGTGACCCTCTCTGGCAGAGATTCTTAGAATTAATGTTTAACATTAGAAAAAATAAAATGAAACGCTGATCACAATAAATCTACTCTGACTGACACATGAAGCAATTATTAGCCCTTTTAAAGCATCACATTACTAGAAAAATTACTGCCAAATATTTTACCCCATGGTTAAAGTCTTTTAATGTGAGACACTTGGCACTACACTTAGAAGATGAAAAAGGTTCTCTCAGGGTTTTGCCTACTAAATTCTTTGTCTGCAGTAAAGCTTGCCACCTACTGGCTAATCTCCAGTACTACTAGCAAAGATGTAAATAATCCATAACTTGATTGGAAGGGAATTGGAACAAATGATCAATTTATCAGATTCAGTGGTCAGAATAATCTCTACTGATGCCACAAGTTAATGTTCCTTCTAAGACTGTGCGTTGTAGCCACATGCACCTGAGGGTAAAGTTAAATTAATAGGAAAATCAATGGAACTGGAGATTTTAAGGTGAGATTTCCAAGTAATTCAGCACAATTCTACTGATATTCAAATGGAATTTAGCTTTTGTATATGCACCCCTGAATATTATGCTTCAAGAAAATCAGCTTCTTTTAAATTTTGTCATGTTCAGAGAACTACAGAATTTTTATATTCTCTTGGCAACATAGAAAACTCTTCTGGTTCATTAAAAACACAATTGAAGAGGAATAAAGTAAGCATTTGAATTTAAAACTATTACCTTTGTTTACAATAATGTAATGAAAATATGTAAATAAAAGATTCCCTCTGCTTGAAGTGTCCCAGGCTTTATTTTAGCAAGAAAACAATCTAATAGCTTCCCATATTGAATTATTTCAGGTCATTGTTATCTTCTCCCTCTATCCTCCCTCTCTTTACCCCTTAGTTACTACTATCTTACCACTGTATACGTTGAATTATACAGCCACCTACAGGGATGCTGGCTTCTTCCATACCCTTTGCCCCATACCACTCTGAATGTTCATGGCAAAGACTCCTGTAAATCCACATCTCTGTTGTCCCTTAATTCATTGGGCACCAATCTGAACACTGACTCACTCACCCAGCTGTGCTCTACAGCAGTGATTTCCAACCATTTTTTATTTGTGGACCCCTAAAACATTTTGGATGGAGGTGCAGACCTTTTGAGAAATTTTGAACGGAAGTGCCAGACCCCTTTGAATTGTGAGTTTGGGTATTGCCATACTTTTGATTGAACATAGTCATCTTTTGCAGATCCCCTAGACATAGCCTGTGGACCCCCAAGGGTCCATGGACCACATGTTGAAAACCAATGCTTTACACTATGCAACCCCTTCTCCCAGCAGATTCTCAGCTGTTGAAGGGACAGATTCCAGGTGTAACATGGCTAGTGGTCTGGAAGAGGCCAGAAAATAAGTCAATGGGAATGACCTCTGCCTGTAGGAAAGGGTGATGTAATCCATCTCTACTCCATTTAGTCTCAAAATGTTTGCAAGGATCAGGTTTAACACTTTTAATTTGGAAGTCTCTTGTATACTGGAAAAATACTATGTTTGACTGTTGGCATAGGTTGGAGACTTGCCACAGAGCTGGACAATTTAAAGATATAGGGCAAAAGCTCTGAGCTTTCCATCTTTCCCTTACCATTTTGGCATACTATCTACCTGGTTCCACCATAAATTTAGCAGTTCTGGAATTTTATAAAACTGCCTAGAGATGAACAATTGAGATTAGGCTAGTTGCTTTTAAAATCTAATAACAATATTTAAAACATATACAGTTGTCTTCTATCCCAAACTCACAGTGCTTTAGAAACATAGTAAATATCATTAACCTTGTTTTATGGAAATGTACAAAGCTATAGAGTGAGTCAGCTGCAGAGTGGGGATGGGAATCCAGATCTCCTAACTTTCATCTATGCTCAGATCACTAGACTACAACAGCACTACATCATATTTTGCATTTCCATAGCATCTGCCACTGAGTATCTCAATGCTCTTTATTAAACATTTATTAGCAAGATAATTAGGAAAATGTTTTTATTTAAGTTAAACGAAACCAAGTCAAACCAAACAAAACCAAGCCCTATGAATTTAGTTAGTAATTAGAAAGAAAATTAGAGCCTTTGTTCTGGAGAAGTGTATTGGGCTGTTTTTAACATATTCACTCATGCAGCCACTCATACACACGTGTATACACTCACTTTTCTATCACTTTTCATAGATTTCACAGACATTTGGGCTAGAAGGGACCCCGGAGGATCACTGAGTCCAGCCCCCTGCCCCAGAGGCAGGAAGTCAGCAGGGATCATAGGATTCCAGCAAGATAAACATCCAAATGTGTCTTGAAGGCGTTCAAAGTGGGTGATTGAACCGCCTCCAACGGCAGTCTATTCCAAACCTTGGGGGCTCAGACAATGAAGAAGTTCTTTCTTATGTCCGGCCTGAACTGGTTACAGTGGAGTTTGTGACCGTTTGATCTTGTCATCCCTCGGGGGGCTCTGGTGAACAGTCGTTCCCCCAGATCCTGATGAGCACCCCTGATAAGCTTATAGGTGGCGACCAGATCACCCCTGAGCCTGCGCTTTTCCAGGCTGAATAGCCCCATTGCTCTCAGCCTCTCATCATAAGGTCTGTTTTCCTGACCTCTGAACATGACCTGGAACTCACTTGAATACATTTGTTTGACATTAGGATCATAGGCATGTAGTGCTGGTAGGGACCTCAGCAGGTCATTTAGTCCAGCCCCCTGCTCAAGGTAGGATCACCAATGACTAAACTACTCAGGCAAGTGTCTTTCTAACCTGATTTTCAACATTTCTGGGGAATCAAGGGTCCACAACTTCTTTAGGTAGCCTGTTCCAATGCTTGACCATTCCCATAGTAAGAAAGTTTTTCCTAAACTCCAAGCTAAATTTCTTCTGCTGCAGCTTAAGGCCATTGCTCCTATTCCTGTCCTCTACAGCCACAGAGGAAAGGCAATCTCCATCCGCTTTATAATCTCTTCAGGTGTTTGAAGACTGTTATCAAATCCCTCATCAGTCTTCTCTTCTCCAGACTAAATAACCCTAGCCCTTTCAGCTTTTCCTCACAAGTCATGCTTCTCAGGCCTCTAATCATTTTTGCTTCTCTCTGCCTTACTCTTTCCAATCTGTCCACATCTTTCTTGCAGTGTAGGGCTCAAAACTGGACATAGTACTACAGATGAGGCCCCACTAATGCTGAATAGAGCGGAAAAATCACTTTCCTTGATTTGCAAGTGACACTCCTATTATTATGCTGGGGTTTTTTGCAAGAAGAACACACTGTTGGCACACATTCAGTTTACAGGCCACAGTAACCGCTGGGTCCTTCTCTGTAGTACTGAAGCCTTGCCAATTATTCTTTAGTTTGTAGACCTACATGGAATTATTTTACCCAAATGCCGGACTTGGCACTTGTCCCTGTTTAATTTGATCTGATTGATTTTCAACCATTTCTCCAGTTTATCCAGGTCATTCTGAATCCTGGTCTTGACATCCAGAGAGGCTGCAGCTTCACCCAATTTGGTGTCAAGTGTGCACTCGATCCCATCATTCATTCTTAAAAGAGTTTGTAAACCTCCCAGAACATAACTACTGCTTCGATATGTTGATGCGCTATGCTGCTACTGAGGGTCAATCTAAGGCTACACTTAAACACCCATGCCACATCTTTATGTGCTTCCCAACTCTTGAGTGGAGCTGTCTAGAAAGTAGTTTATACAATACTTTTCTTTCCTGTTGTGCTTGGCGCTAGTTATGAGCAATAGAGAGAGGAAGTGGGATTCAGAAGGAATAGGGAGCTGTGGGTTTCCTACTAGTGGACGTCATATGCTTGTGGCCTGTGACACCAGATAAATTCCAAACGCAGCAGGGGATGGAAAGCTAGGAGGTAGGTTTGACCTTAGACCCTGCTGCTCACAGACCCTCCAATATCAGGCTAGATTCACCCACCTGAGGTTAGGGTTTTAAATATAGACAGTCAGTGGCTATGAATGGATCGATAAGAGGGTAGAGTGGGGGATTGAAGTCACCCCCCTTCCACTCCTGCTTTGGCTGTGCAGCACATACACAATGAACTCTCTGAGCTCACTGGCTTATCAGCACAGCTTCTTCAGAACCAGAGATGACCCGAGCAGGGTGCGGGGCCCGGGCAAATCAGCCTGTGTGGGGCCCCACCCCCAGACATGAGGAAGCCAGTGGAGGATTCGGTTGGGAGGGGTGGCACTGAGCGGCCGAACCTGACAGATTCAGCGGCAGATTTGGCGGGGAGTGCCAAGCAGCCAGACATGAAGCCAGCAGCAGCGCAGAGTTGCCACGGCTGCTGCGCCTGGCTCTGTGGGGCCCCCCAAAGAGTAGGGCCCGAGGCGGTCACCCCGATTCGCCCCCAGGATGGCCCTAGCCAGAGCCACTGCTTTGACACAGCTGTGGAGCTGTGGGGGTGAATGCTGCCATCACTCACCCTGCCCTCTTTCCCACTGCTGAATTCAGTGTCAAGGGAAAGAGTGGGTGGTGAGCAGTAGCAGCATTCACTTTATGAACTCTGGAGCTGCGTCAAAGCAGTGGTTTCGCAGAGGCTGCACTAACAGGCTTGTCAGGTTTAAGGTCACCTTTAACTGTGAGTATAGGCCAGTGGTTCTCAACCTTTTTAGACCCCAGGCACCCCTCCAGAATTTCTCTGAACTTAGCAGGACTGCATTTCAAAAACTAATTTATTACAGTGCTTACCTCTTTGCATAGCGTCTGGGCAGTATGTGTGGGGCAAGGTGTGAGCTCTTATCTCCTCATGCAAGGGCCAGGCAGAGGGAGGAGGAGCAAGCACGTACCTCCTTGCATAGGGGCTGTGCAGGGGCCTTCTCTCACCTCACAACACCCTTAAAAGGATCTTGCAACACCCTAGTTGAGAATCAACTTAGCCTTTAAGTCATCAGGATTGTCAAGTGTGTGATGTTTGAGAAAGATCGCCACCTCACAAATCTCAAAAGGACCTTCAGCCAAAAAGGACACTCCTCCAGAGAGAGAGATCGCACATACCAAGTGAAGATTTGTTGTAGTACAAAACGAAAATTCCCACAAATCTCACACCATTAGTTATAACATACCACCCTTCCCTGGAACTTGCATGGAAAATCCTCAAACAATTGCAGCCCATATTAGAAGAAGACCTTGTTCTTAAAGACCTCTTTCCAGAACCACCCATCCTAGCCTTTAAACAAGCACTGAACCTTGCTAACCTCATCACCAGAAGCAAACTCCCTATGACCCAAACCATACCAAATGGATCCAGA